AGAACTAGTCATTTGGATGCAGAACTAGCTCAAAGGCAGAAGACAGAGGATGGCGGAGAATGGTTGCTTTTCAGACCAGAGGCCTGTGACCAGCAGTATGCCAGAAGGATTGGTGCTGGGTCCACTGCTTTTCGTTATTTATGTAAATGATGTGGATGTGAAAATAGGAAGTTTTGCAAGTAGGTCTGCAGATGACACCAAAATTGGGGGTGTAGTCGACAGTGAAAAAAGTTACCTCAGAGTACACCAGGACCTTGACCAGATGGGCCAATGTGCTGAGGAGTGGCAGATGGAGTTTAATCTAGATAAATGTGAGGTGCTACATTTCGGTAGGGAAAATCAGGGCAGGATATATACACTTAATGGTAAGGTCCTGGGGAGTGTTGCCGAACACTCTGAAAATGGAGTTGTGGGTAGACAGGGTAGTGAACAAGGTGTTTGCTATGCTTGCCTTTATTGGTCAATGCATTGAGTATACTAGTTGGCATGTCATGTTGCGGATGTACAGGACATTGGTTAGGCCACTTTTGGAATACCACGTTCAATTAGAGTCATTGGGTCATAGAGATATATAGCACAGAAACAGACCCTTCTGTCTAACTCGTCCATGCTGACCAGATATCCTAAATAAATCTAGTCCCATTTAACAGTATTTGGCCCATATCCCTTTAAACCCTTCCTAATTATATACCCATCCAGATGCCTTTTAAATGTCGTAATTGCACCAGTCTCCACCATTTCTTCTGGCAGCTCATTCCATACATACACCACTCTCTGCGTGAAAAAGTTGCCCCTTAGGTCCATTTTAAATCTTTCTCCTCTCACTTTAAACCTATGCCCTCTAGATTTGCAATCTCCTACCCTGGGGAAAAGACCTTGTCTATTTACTCTACCCATGCCCCTCATGATTTTTTAAACCTCTATAAGGTCACCCCTCAACCTCCGACACCACAGGGAAGACAGCCACAGTCTATTCAGCCCCTCCCTATTGTTCAAACCCTGCAACCCTAGCAACATACTTGTAAATCTTTTCTGAATCCTTTCATGTTCATAACATCCTTCCTATAGCAAGGAGACCAAAATTGCATGCAGTATTCCAAAAGTGTCCTATACGGCTACAATATGACCTCGCAACTCCTATACTCAATGCACTGAAAATAAAGACAAACATATTAAACACCTTCTTCACTATCCTATCTACCTGCAACTCAACTTTCAAGGAACTGTGAACCTGCACTTCAAGGTCCCTTTGTTCAGCAACACTCCCCAGGACCTTACCATTAGTGTATAAGTCCTGCCGTGATTTGCCTTTCCAAAATGTAGTGCCTCATAATTCTCTAAATTAAACTCCATCTGCCACTCCTCAGCCTATTGGCCCATCTGATGAAGGTTCTGTTGTACTCTGAGGTAACTTTTTTCACTATCCACTAAACCATCAATTTTGGTGTTATCTGCAAACTTACTAACCATATCTCCTAAGTTCACATTCTGATCTCCCTGCTATCGGAAAGATGTTGTTAAAATTTGAAATGGTTCAGAAAACATTTACAAGAATGTTGCCAGGGTTGCAAGGTTTGAGCTATAGGGAGAAGCTGAATAGGCTGGGGCTATTTTTCCTGGAGCATTGGAGGCTGAGGGGTGACCTTACAGAAGTTTATAAAATCATGAAGGGCATGAATATCGACGAAGAGTCAAAGTCTTTCCCCCCACAGTAGGTGAATCCAAAACTAGAGGGCATAGCTTTAAGGTGAGAGGGGAAAGATTTAAAAGGAATCTGAGGGCAACCTTTTCATGCAGAGTGTGATGTGTTTATGGGATGAACTGCCGAGGAAATGATGGAGGCTGGTATAATTCAACATTTAAAAGGCAACTGCATGGTTATATGAAAAGGAAGGGTTTACAGGGATAGGGGTCAAATGTTGGCAAAGGGGACTAGATTAATTTAGCATATCTGGTCAGCATGGGCAAGTTGGGCTGAAGGGTTTGTTTCTGTGCTGAACATCTCTATGACTCTATAATCAGTAATGCAACTGCCCCAACTCTTTTACATTGCTCTCTATCATGCTTGAAACATCTAAATTCCAGAATGTTAAGCTGCCCATATTGTCCCTCTGTCAACCAAATCTCTGTAATAGCTACAACATTGTAGTTACATGTATAATTCCAAGCTCTAGGTTCATCTTCCTTACCTGTCATACTTCTGATATTAAAATAAATACACCAGAGACCTCCCCGTGACTGTCCTTCCTCTTAGTCTTCCTGGCTTTGGTCTCAGACTTCTCCTCAGTCATTTTACTTGCTGACCTACTGCTCTGGTTCCTGTGCCCATGCCATACTAGAATAAACACTTGCAAGTGGCACTAGTAAACCTCCCTGCCAGGATATTGGTGCCCCTCCAGTTTAGACGCAACCGGTCCTTCTTGTACAGGTCCCACCTGCCCCGGAAGACATCCGAATGATCCACATAGCACCACCTCTTTAGCCACATATTTAATTGCACTGTCTTCTTATTCCTAGCTTCACTGGGATGTGGCATAGGAAGCAATCCTGAGATTACAACCCTAGAAGTACTGCTTTTCAACTTCCTGATTCCCACAAATTGTAGGAGCAGCATTCCACGGGGCTGTATTCTCCAGTTTTTGTGAACTTTATTGACTAAATTAACTTTATCAACTACATACAATAATCCAAGAGGTGATTACACAACCTTATCCACTCATCACAAAACTCAGTCTCTCACTCCCGCTCTCTATTCCGAGCAGACTACAACTACAAAAAGTACTTAATCTCTTTTCAAACACTACTTACTCAGTCTGCATATCTTGTTCCTGAGCAGCCAAGCCTAGCTAACTTTTTGAGTCATAACTTCACCTCCAGACCTCCACCTCTAAATTCAGATCCACATTCACTCTGACTGACCCTGCACATCAGATATTTATCCTGCTGCCACTGTTCACCCCCAGGTTCATTTTGACTGATCTCGCTCTTCAAGTATTTATCCTGTTGTCACTCTTCATGCCCAGGTTTGTTCTCCTTCACTCTGTTGCGGCTGCTGTTGTTGCTCAGACTGACCCCAAATTGAAATACCATTGGATTTCAGCTCCATTGTTCCTGTTTGGACTGAGGATGTAATGAGGTATGGAGTTGAATGCCTCTGGTAGAAAACCATCTGAAGATAAGTGAAAGGATTAATTCTGAAAAAGTGCCACTTGACAGCACTGACAATGACAAATTTCATCACTTCCCTGATGACTGAGAGTAGACTGATAGTGTGCTAATTGAGGAGATTAGATTTATTTTATTTTGACTTGACATGCTTAGTCAATTTTCCACATTCACAGAATATAGAAATGATATAGCACAGAAAGATACCACTTGGCCCATCATGGCAATACCAACCAAAAGAAAAAGGAGCAACCCAGCCTCATCCCATTTGCCTGCATTTGGTCTCTAGCCTTTCAGGGCATTGGAAGTACATATCCAGACACATTTAAAATGAGTTTGGGTGTTTGCTTCTCCTACCCCTCCAGGCATTGAGTTTCAGGCCCCTACCACACTCTGTGCAAAACAAATTATCGTCATATCCCTTCCAATTATTCTACAATCATTTTATATCTGTGGCCCCCTAGTCACCGACCTCTATTAAGGGGGACAGGCTCTTCCTATCCATTCTTTCAAGGTCCCTGACAATTTTGTGCATCTTAAGCATACCTCCCTTCAGCCTCCTCTGTTCCAAACAGAAAGTTGATCCAATCTTCCCTCAAGGCAGCATTTTCTTGCCCAGTAACTTCCTTGTAGATCCCCTTTGCACCATCCCTACTGCAAATACATTGCTCCTGTGAAGAGTTGTTCATAATTGCACACAATACTCAAGTTGTGGACTAACTGTTTATGCAGTTCTAGCACAACTTCCTTGCTCTTGTACACTATACCTAAGAAAATAAAGGAAAGAATTTCATATGCCTTTTGAATCAACTTATCAACCTGCATAAGAGTAAACTGTGAATTTCTCTTTGCCACTTATGTACAAATAAGTTTGTTAACACAAATAGAATTATTTAAATGTTAATGATGAAACCTGGTGTGAATTTCTTCAGTTCTGAGTAGCAATCAGCCAGGTATATGTGAGGGGAAAGTTGCCTTCGAACGTCCAGTCTGTTATTGGGTATTATTTTAATTTTGTTCAACGGTGTGGAGCAAGCCATAATGCTTCAGCAGCCCGTTTTATATCTCAGCATGATTTTATTTTTATCATCTTCCAATACATACCTTATACTGTCAAAAAAGGTTGAGATAGAGTCATAGAGATATACAGCAAGGAAACAGACCCTTCGATCAACTCGTCCATGTCAACCAGATAGCCTAAAAAATCTGGCGCATTTGGCCCATATCCCTTTAAACCATTTCTATTCATGTACCCATCCAGTTGCCTATTAAATGTTATAATTGTACCAGCCTCCACCACTTCCTTTGGCAGCTCATTCAATACCACCCTTTGTGTGAAAAAGTTGCCCTTTTTAAATCTAATGTTCCTGTTTGGACTGAGGATATAATGAAAAAGTTGCCCCTTTTAAATCTTTCTTCTCTCACCTTAAACCTGTGACCTCTAGTTTTGGACTCCCCTACCCCTGGGAAAAAACCTTGTTTATTAACCCTATCCATGCCCCTCATGATTTTATGAAGCTCTATAAGGTCACCCCTCAGCCTCTGACACTCCAGGGAAAATAGCCACAGTCTATTCAGCCTCTCACTATAGCTCAAACTCTCCAAACTTGGCAACATCCTTGCAAATCTTTTCTGAACCCTTTCAAATTTCATAACATCCTTTCTACAGCAAGGAGACTAGAATTGCACGCAGTATTCCAATAGTCACCTAACCAATATCCTGTACAGCCTCAGCATGACCTCCCAACTCCTATAGTCAATGCATTGACCAAAAAAGACAAGCATACCAAACTCTATAGTGCTATCTGTATTATAGTCACAAAAATCTCCAGTACCTGCTTTAATATCGAGGGTGAGACCCTGCCTGTTGTGTTAAGTGTCTCCGGACAGAGACGGGAAATGAGCCAGTCTGAGGACTCCTTATGACCCACCAACGCACTAGCACCGCCTTCTCGCTCCGGCCGAATGGGCTGGACAAAAGCAATTGTCTGGAACCAGAAATGAACATTTCCAGCGGGAGTTACGAACGTTCATCAAGCAAAGCAGTTTATCCACTCTTCCTGAGGATGGAGATAGGATTCTGGGTGGAATATTTACTGTGCATTCAGAAGCGATTCAGAACCTTCCGTCATTGACCATCATCCCGCCTGAATCAGAATGCCAAAAGTAAGTTTAGTTTTGTATCGCTAGTTTAGTTTAACTTTGGGAAAATACCTGTTAAAGCAAGTTAAGTAACAATAACTTTTCAGGTTGGTCGAACATTGAAAAACAAATGCATTTTTAAAAGTTAAAGTCAAATTAAACATTCCAAATTTATCAAATATTTACGTCGATAGTTGAGTCACTTTCTTATCTGAAGTCGTGTTCCTTCTCTTTGACCTGCCAAACAATGTAAACAATGTTAAATCCTCTTTCTTATGTTCATTTAAAATTAATCCCCCTCCAGTTACAGTGTATAAACCTCGCCAAATTACCATTGCACTTGATTTATACGGTTCTTTTTGACGTGTTTGTAAAGGGGAAGTCGTCATGGTCCCCAGAAGACAATAGGGCTGCTTTCTCATTGGAGAGAGACACGACTGGTGTTGAGTTTAACCTGAGGGTCACCACACCCTGGACACGAGCGAGGTTGCGAAAACTGAGCCGTTCATGGTGATCTCAGCCCCATACTGAAGTGAAGTTATACGCGTTGGCTTCACTCTATTTAAGACCTAGATACTGAACTGAAATATCATTGTTCTCAATGCATTAATTATGTATTGCATTGCGATGACACACGTTGAATCCACAATTAGAGACTAATATATTTATTTATTCCGATGGTTAAATTAGAACATCTTATTTAAGCTTAGACAAAAATAGAAATTGCTGGAAAAGCTCAGCAGGTCTGGCAGCATCTATGGAGAGAAATCAGAGTTAACGTTTCCAGTCCAGTGACGCTTCCTCAAAACTGGTTTCCTTGATTTCTCTGCACAGATGCTGCCAGACCTGCGGAGCTTTTCCAGCAATTCATATTATTGTCTCTGATTTACAGCATCCACAGTTCGTTCGTTTTTGTTTTATTTAAGCTTAGACTTAGTTTTTCTGGTTCCGTGTGCGACAATGGGCAGCAGGACTCCACCACTGGCCCACATCTGTAGCAATCTCTTCACTCCAGCCCAGGTAGTGTCCTGCTCGTAAAGGTCCTCCTCGTAAATATACCTCAGCAGGTCTTCTTTGGATTGCTGTGTCCTTTTTTTATTCCATCTGATGGTGTCTATTCTAGTGCTATTGCGGTGGGGGGTAAAGGTAAAGTTCACATAGTCTTATCAGGCCGCAAAGCCACCTTCTTGTCAGAAAGAGATGACCATTGGCAGATTGAACCTGAACATCGCCACGCTTCAGGCAAGGGGAGAAGTCAAGAGATGAGTTCTTCCTGGTAACCTCAGATAGTGTAGGAAATTGAGCCCACACTGTACGATATTACTGCACATTGCAATTCAGCCATTCAGCCGACTGAACTAACCAACCCCTAACTAGTGGGATGTATATCCAGGAAGAGAAATATGTGTCCCGCCAGTCTCAGCCACCTCTCCAGCAGGTGCCTCCGATCATTCCTATGTAGCAGTTCTTCATTTTGTGATTTTTGTCTCTTCAAATGATGCTAAGTAGGCAATATCGGTAAAAATAAAAGCCAAACCTATATGATAGGTTCAGTGCTCTCTTCCATGCCTCACTGGTATCGATGGGACTTTGTACTACTTTGTGTGTGTGGAGTCTGGAATATCAGTGGATGTCAAATCCCACTTGAACTGTTAAATAAAATAAGGAACTGCAGATGCTGGAAATCTGAAACAAAAGCAGAAAGTTCTGGAGAGACTCCGGAAGATTAGCATCATCTGTGGAGAGATAACAGAGCTAATGTTTCAACTCCAGTATCTCCGTGCATTGTTACTACATTCAAACAGAAATATCATCACACATGAGGTTTAAGGAAATGGAAATATGCTAATGAAATGAAATGAACTCCTATGGACACTGAAGGACTGGTTAATCTATTTCTCTGTGTTGAATATTTTGTAATACCTTGTAATCTGAGAAGTAATGCTTCCACCATTTTGAATGCTTTGTTTATACTGATTCATTCATAGAATGTGGGTGTCACTGGGAAGGCCAGTATTTGTTGCCCATCCCAAACTGTGCTTAAACTGAATAGTTTTCTAGGTCATTTCAGAGAGCTACATATAACTGTGCGTGTGTTTGTGTGTTGTGCATGTATTTTTTAATCACTCACTGAATGTGGTGGGCTAGTATTTTTTTGTCCATCTCTATTTGACATTGATAAGGTGGTAGTGGCTGCCTTCTTGAACTATAGCAGTTCATTTCATGTAGATACACACAATTTGCTGTTGGTGAAGGATTTCCAGGTTTTGATCCAATGACACTGAAGGAATGGTGACTCATTTCCAAGTGTGGATGGTGAGTGGCTTGGAAGGTATCTTGCAGGTAGTGGTGTTCCCATGTTTCTGCTTTGCTTATCCTTGTAGATGGTAGAGGTTGTGGGTTTGGAAGGTACTGTCTATGCAGCCTTAGTGATTTTCTGCAGTGCATCTTGTGAATAATACACAATGCTGCTACTTAGTGTCTGTGGTGGAGGGAATGGATATTTGTGTGTGTTATGCCCATCAAGCAGGCAGCTTTGTCTTGGATGGCGTCAAGCTTCTTGAATGCTGTTGGAGTTGCAGTCATTCAGGCAAATAAGAAGTATTCAATCACACTCCTGACTTGAACTTGTAGAGGTGAGTTCACTGCTGCAGTATTCCTAACCTGTGACATAATTTGGTAGCCACATTATTTATATGACTAGTCCAGTTCAGTTTCTACTGAATGGCAACCCCCAGGATATTGACAACTGGGGATTCAATGAAGGTGATGCCATTGGATTTCAAGAGGTGAAAATTGGATTCTAACATTCAAGTACAAGTACAATTCAACTGCTGTTGATTACTCACAGTGCATCATGCAAGCCCAATCTTGAGATGCTAGATTTGTTTGAAGTCTATCACATTTAGTACAGTGATAGTGTCAGACGCACGATGGAAGGTAATTTCAATGTGAAGATGCTGTCTTTACAAGGATTGTGCAATGGTCATTCTTACTGCTACAATCGTGGACAGACGCCTCTGTGGCTGGTAGATTGATGAAAATGAAGTCAAGTATATTTTTCCTTCTTGTTGGTTTCTTCACCATATACCATGAACCTAGTGCGGGAAATGGCCAGCAGTAATTTTGCTGAGCCACTTGCACTGGTGGACATAGAAGAACGGACAATGGGAGGGATGCAGAATATATTCTGTGTGGTGGGATTCTAAGTGCTGCATGAGGAAGTACTGATTCATCCGCAGAAGAGAACAGTGTAACAATACCACTTAGCTCTGTTGTACTTTGAATCAGTTCCATTGACTATGTGGGCTGACACCACGGTATATGCAGGGGTTGGGATTTGGCTCGGGAATTGGCAGAAAAAGTAGCGGAGGTAGTTCTAAAAATAGAGCCAATATGGAGGTATATGTGATAAAACTGAAGCAATTTTTCATTGCACATATACATTAGTATTGCCTTCTTTAATTCTGTCACTGTGCATAATTGATTAAGAGCAGCTTGGCACACACATGAAAAAGTCCAGCCTAAATTATTAAAATGTTTGCAGAATTAGTGGAGTTTCCTGTAGACAACTGTTCTTAGAAGAATCTAAACAATTGCATACAAATAGTATCACTGAAAGTGATTGATTGGCATGGTTTTAAATTGCAATACCAACTTTTATCTAAAATAACGTGATACCATAGAGTAATATTTATGATTTATAAGATTTTGTTACCCAGTCTTATTTTGTCTCCAAATCTAGACTCTATCAAGAACAAGCTAACTGTATCAGTCCACTCAAAATAAAACAATGGTCAGAATAAAGAAAAAGTTGTAAATCCAAATGTCACTCGCTTGAGGTTATCTGCATTCAGAAGAGTTGGCATGGTGAAGAATTAGATAAACTAAGATACAGAATAATAGGTAATAGATATTCTTCAGACAGTTGTTACTAAAGGAAAATATCTGTTGGTCATAGAGGCATTGAAAAATACAGACCTGAAAAGAGTGTGCTCTACCAATGCCACATGATCTACCATCTTCACTATATGAATGAGTTGATTAAATTTACAAAAGAATCAGAATGTGAATTACATTTGCGCAATTTCTTAAAATTAGCATTTTTGCTTCTGTAGTGAACATATCATCGACTGTTATTCATTGATCGTTACATTTTGATTACCCATTTCATTACTTATTTCTGTCAATTAAGGAAATTGAGAAAGTAGCGTTAAGAAGACGTATTAATATTTTTTGAGGATTCATGCTTGAAGAACTGTGGACAGTGGTTCATTTGGAGGACTGAAGGTATACCTGGACTGTTTCTTTAAAAGAAATGCCAGTAAAAGACTATTGGGACGTTACTTCAAGATACTTCCAGGAAATCACAAAGCTTAAGTTTGTATTTATTTACAGGAAAAAACATGCCTGGGTTGATGGCTTTGTTTTTGGATATCATTTAGAATTTATTTGGGTGCAGAGATCTGAGAAACAGAAGCTATGTAGCTCATCTACTGCCTGTTTGTGGAAACGCTTTGAGGGTCCAGTGCGAGATCTGACAAACTGATCCAGCTTAGACAAACGGGATGCTGGAAGAACACAGCAAGCCAGGCAGCATCTGGAGGAAAGGAGCAGTCAATGTTTCGGGTATAACCCTTCTTCAGGACTGGATGTCCAGTTTTTTTACCTTGGATTCCAGCATCTGCAGTATTTTTGTCTCTAAATTGATCCAGCTTTTTTTCTGAAAAGCCTCTAGATCCTCTCCAATTCCTGAATGAATTGCACCTGTAAAAGTCTCAGTGACAATTGCCTGAGTTTCGTTAGCTTGGATGTTGACCAAAAGTCATTTTGAACACTTTATAAATGATCTTTCAATAACTAACAATTATTGTCCAAAGTGTTTCACTTTCAAATTAATTTCTGCATAAAATGTTTCTTATTTTTCCCTGAATTGGTGTGCATGTAGTGGGTATTCATTTAGAAGTATAAATAGTTATAATTCCAGCTGTATGTTAATCAACTTTATAAGTTTGCTGAATAATTCATTTTTTAAATTGTTTATTATAGATACCTGGTTGATGGATTTTTATTCTAAATCTAATGTAATGTAATGTAAGTTATACAATTGTCCATATTACTAATGCATTAAACATTTAAATTGATTCTATGGTCAGTGGAGTGGTGGGATGAGAGAAAGAGGCCATGCACTCCTTCAAAGTCATTCACAACAGTACTGCAGAACATTATTACATAATACCTAACTGTATGGTGTGCAGTTGTTAATATTACATTGTCAGTGCAATGTTCATGATACTTAACAA